GTTGGAAAGAGTGATGCTGAGGCATGTGTTGTGAGCGGCATCGTCTTTGCGGCAAGCGACACACGTGATCTTGTGGCTGCCATCAGCAAAGCTGGTCTTTGTGTTGACGCAGCAAAGAACAAAGTGCGTTGCTCAGGCAATCGTAAGATGGGCAGTGATGTTGAGATCGACATAGAGATGGAGCACCTTTCCGATGCTGCTACTATCAGCCAAGACCAGCTGAGGAAGATCGATGTAGGAGTTTGTGTGACAAATCCGGACGGCAAGACAGTCCAGTGCGAGCCCCTACAGCAATCATCTACTGGACATCTGGTGACTAAATGTCGTCCTGCTGCAGCCGGCGAATACGCTGTTTCCACTACGATTGCCGGTGTTCCTCTGAAAGGTAGTGGAGTGAAGTTCCGTGTTGTTCCACCAGCACCTGCTCAGCCGGCACCTGTACCTGTGTTTGATATCAACCGCCGCCATGGCGATATTCAGATCAGGAACAACAACCGAACCATCCATAATTCGTCGCCCGGCTGGCATTCAGTGTGTAGCTCACCGATACAGGAGCAGTGGGGTAGCAGTGCTATACAGGTACGTATAGATGTCACACAGAATGCCTATATCTATGTGTCCTTATGTGCATGGTCTAGTCCAGTACTGGATGGTGTACATGGCACACAGGGTGAAGTGTACGGTTGGTATGGTGGCTGTGCTTTGACCTCTCGTGGTGGTGGTGATCTAGGCCAGCCCTGGCAGAGCAATGATTTGATCACATTGACATTGAACCATGATGATCATAGCCTGACCGGACTGCATCATCGTACCGGTGTAACTGAAGTGTTGCGCAACATCCCAACCAGTAACCTATGCTGGTATGTATCGTTGAGAGAGGCGGGTGATGAAGTGACAATAGTCCATTGAATCCCATTACTGATCCGCTGGCTATAGCCTAATCTGTAGTAATACGAGCACAGGATGCTTGTCAGGATGGACTTGTTGCGGCAATGCTGGTAATCAAGTTACGTGTACGTTTTGCGAAGTATGGTTTTCGTTAGTAGTCTCCGGCTACAGTGACTACACAGTACAGACTGATGGCAGAATAGGAATTGTCTGCTTTATTAGATATTTCTATGTTGCTGGATGTCTTGCTCATATTGTTCTGTTGTTTTACTCCAGTATATCTCGTGATATCTGCTTGTACGTTTACTGCCTGTATTTTATCCCAACGCACTGGCTTTTCATGTTTGTTTGTTTTCCCTAGCCTTTTCCATCAATGTAATGCCTTTGTGATGACCCTGCGTACACAGTAATGCTCGTAACCATTTACATGTAGCAGTTATGTACCCTAATGCTGAAACCATGACTATGCATAATAATTAGAACAGTAGCATAGGTACACATGATGTACGTTTCTAGAAGATGGAGTCACGTGTTTAGATATGTTCTACTCCTTATCATCACTACAGTCACATCCTGCTGGCACTCCTCAATGTGTTGCCTAGACTCTCCCTTACCACAGAACTGTAATCGATCGTCTTGTCTTTCCGTCTGCGCGATCTACCTGTTTCCATTGCACGTTTATAGTGTTACAGTTTCCTTGCAGCAACGTGCCGCTCGCTCCTGCTGACTTTGCTCGCGCTCTGTTTGCTGCTGCCTGCTCTATGCTTCTCTTCGCAGCTGCTTCCGATATAGACTTCAGCGGTATAAGTTTGCTGACTGGAGTAGAGTGTGTCAGTTGAGTGCAGTAGAGTTGTAGAGTTGAGTTTATTAGAGAGTTTACATTACCGCTCAAGTGGACTTGTCCGCTTGAGCCGGGTTTTTGCATTGCAGTTTCTTACCTATCCTTTGCATTTCTACTTTTACTATATCGGACCTTTGTGCTCCGCCACGCTGATTTCTCTGTGCGTTGGGTCTGAGGTATGCCTGAGTGGAATGACCAAGAGGCACACATATACTTTGTGCAAACGGGCTTGGGATAACTCACACGTAGGGATGATCGGCCGACCACGACACTTGGTGCTGTGACCAGGATTCTTCTTGGTCTAGTTTCCCAGGCCCTCCGCTCTACTCTTGGTCCACGCGCTTTCACTCTCCGTCATTGTTCCGTCCTCCACTGTCTGTGGCCCCGCTGTGTCTGTACACCGCCTCCCAAATCCCTTGGGTTGTTAGTGCCACTGATGTTCCTCATCGATCGCGGACGACGAGTCGCGCGCCAAATCCTCCTTCACCCCCCCCCCCCAAAAAAAGTCAGTGTGGGTTATGTTCAACGCTGGTGATAAACAGGATACCGGTAGATGTCTGTATTTCGTGACAAATGAATAATCTGGGCACGGCTCGGGAAAATACGGAACATGTCTACCTGTACTGACTGTCTGTGTGTTGCTCACACTGATAGTGACCTCGTTTATCGAATAACACTGATGACTGATGACTGATGTCGATGAACCACGTGCGTGTACCATCAGTCTAATCAGTGCAAGCAACACCATTATGATCGTGTGCATGCGTTGATGTACGAGCTTGATGGCACGCTTTTCTTTTTTTATTTCCGAGCGTTCACACTTGTTTCTGATCCTTTTGGGTTGCTCTCCTCTGTTTTATTCTTGCTCTTGCGTTTCGTCACGTTGGGTCAGGCACTAGCTACGTGGCTGTTGTGCATAAATATTTGTAGGACTGGAAGAAGGTTTAGCTCTCTTCAAATTGTGCCTTCGAGTATTTCTGTTGTGGGCCAGTCACAGTTTTTACTCGCGAGGGGTGAAAAGTTAGGGGGCCAGGGGCCAAGTCATTCGCGGCCTGCAAGCCATTTTCTGGTAGGAGCGGATGGCTCTAGCTCTCTTTACAAGGCGCTACAACTACGAGGATATTTAATGCCGGGTGATGAACATGGAATATGCGGACTCCGGAGAGATATTCGCCCTTGATTGAACTACTTCGAACGGTAATGATTCCGCCCCCTACGTAGCGACGGCAATATGCAATGGCAGCGAGGCCCCGCATGCAGCCAACCGATATGCCAGAGAGCGTGGATCGGAGCACGACAGCGTACCATTTCAGCCGATCTAAGAAGAGCACGGAGCGTGCAGGAAAATACTTCGTCGTTTACCAGTTAGTCTGCGAAGGTAGCTGGCATTGTACATTGGTCGTATCCATTCTGGTTAGCTGAGCCACGACGGAGTCGAAGACACTATTCACCAACTAAGCCAGTACATGAACGAGTGTCGCAAGGTATGTCTACCTGGCGGAACCCATACGTAGTGGAGTCGAACGTCAGAGACCAGAAAAACTGAAACTGCTAGTCTTACCAGCTTGGAGCCACTGCGTGCAGTTCGAGGATATCACGGACAGTCAGTGTGATTTCCAAATGTATGCAGTAGTCGACGCACCACACATCGCAAGACTCTCAATCGTGGAGAGATTTGTTTGGATGGCAGTGACTGCTAGAGCAGACGGAATTGATGTCAGGTGAGGTCGGGAGTATGGAACTCACTCATCAGAGGACTTTGCCCAAAGGACTGATCTATTCGGATATGGCGCCGCTGTTGGCAGTTGTCACTGTGAAAGTCACAGACAAGGGAACTTCGGCCAGAAGAGTGACCCTGTCAGATTCGTGGACGGTGGAGGAGGACAGACCACATCGTCGCCAGCCTTACATAGCAGCAGTCTCAATTCTCTCAAGTACAAGGTAATTGCAATTTTATAACCTGAACATATAAAAGTACGGACTCGGATGGAGAGCCAAGGATACATTTATTGGGGTACTAGCTGTGCTAGTACTCGTTAGCAACAATCCGAACTAGCGCATACACCGCGCTGCATTACTCTGTGCTGCCTGCAAGACTGACGTCATGCGCTTTGCTTTGCTGCGTAATCACAGATGGCACCAGCTCGTTTTGCTGAAAAGAAAACAAATCTTGCTTGCCCCGTTGTGTTCCTCAAGACAGCAGATCGTGCTTCCGCAGTGTTGCTTTTCAGCGTTCCTTTTCCCGAGTGTCATCTCGATACTGTATTTATTCAGCATGTCCGACCTAACTGTCGACACTGTGAAGGCAATGACTTGCCAAGCCCTCCGCGGCGAGCTTTCCCAGCGCGGCTTCAACCCGAAAGGAAACGAGAGAGCTTGGAAGCTCAGGGCCCTGCGCTATGCTTTGTTGCCTAGCTCATCGTGCATGTTGTTAGAACTGATGGAAAAGTTTTTTTCCTTTGATTAGCTACATCATTGTATTGCAAAAACGTTTCAATGAGTTACTGAAGTAACGTCTTCTGCATAGCTATGGGACCGGCGCTGACTCTGCCGATCACGGGCGTTCTGGAGTCGACGGGATGTCTGTCCTGCCGTTTCCTGGGACCGGCGCTGACTCTGCCGATCACGGTCGTTCGTCTTCTTCTTATTATTATACTGACGGCAACTAACATCCATTCTAATTGCATTTACTCGTCTCCCTACTTCGTATTTCTTTCCAGAAAATCTCCCCATACAGCAGGGAGTCGTTTACATAATATGACTCCCTGCTATACATCTACATGACTGTATACACGTTATAATTATTATGCTATCGGCCTACATGCGATTCCCGGGCTGTTCGACAGGCGGCCCAGCCAACCTGCTAGTGGGATCTCGGCCTCGCACACAAATCCACTCAAAATGTTACTGCACTGAATGCATTCCCCGATACACTTCGCATATATACTCATTCTCTTGATGGTACCGTACACTTGATGGTACAGGACAGGTACGGGATAGCGCCAGGCATGCCGATGGCACAAACAAACAAAAATATTGTGGCCAGCTGTCTTTGTTGGTACGGTACGGTACGGGACAGATACAGGATAGCGCCAGGCGTGACACAAACAAACAAACAAACAAACAAACAAACAAACAAACAAACAAACAAACACCAAATTAAAGCTGTGTGGACCCTGGCTAGCGCCAGACGTTACTGAAGTAACGTCTTCTGCATAGCTACGGGAATAAAAGTATTTCACAAGACCGTTTGCTTGCACAGCTAGCCCTTGGAAGTCAGGTCTGCTCCGGCCTGGAAAACCAGCAACACGACATTGCGGACACGGCTCGTGAGCCCAGGAGCCCGACCGGCACCAATGCCTCCTCCACCAGCTCAGGCGACGTGGGCGCAATGGATCTCCGCGCTCTCGTGCAGGACGAGGTGCAGTCGGCTTTGTCGGCCGCCATTACAGAGAGCATCGTGCCGCTCCTAACTCAAGGTCAAGGCAATACGGCTGCTGCCGCCACAACGCTAGCCCAAGGCCCAGGCTCTTGCAATCCACCCGTCCAGCCACCAGCACCAGCTGTGCCCAAGGCTGTGCAGGAGCGTATCTTGCGAGGTGAGTTTGTCGATCTTTCAAGTTTGTTGCCTGAGATTCTCGCACCCCCCATTCATACTTCCGGCCGAACATTCCGGCAGGTGCACAGCCCGAATAACGACAGCCAACTAAACATTGTCGAGTCGGATGATGCGAAGCAGGCACCATACTGACCAACCACCACAATCTCAATCCCTTGACAAGACATGCAGAATCCCTAGATTTCTCTCAAAATCCCTGGATGGCACAAAAACAAGTGAAAAAGAGCTTTTCCCGCCAAAAAAACGTTCGACTCTGCAGCTGTGCGTACAGCACAGATCGACCCTGTACTAGGCTGTAGTGCAGTTTGATCAGTCGGCGCCTGCCTATCACTTTGTCAGTGCAGATCTTGCATGGTCAGGTCTTCAAAGTGCTGTGCACAGTTCGAAGTGCGAATGAGCACCGTACATACCTTTGAAAAAGTTCAAAAAACGGGATATTCGGGAAGAAACCATGGAGTTTTCAGGAAAATCCTGTATCAGACAAAACTTTGGTTTTTCCGGGAGTTTGCTTGAAATCCCCGGGACGCCGGGAGGAGTGTTGATTTTCCGGGATTTTCCCGGGAAAAACGGGAGGGTTGGCCAGTATGAGGTATGTCGCAAGGTCCACAACATAGCTACATGGCTCGAACCATGGACAACTTACATGTCTGTTGTCACGGCTGCTGTCCCGCACCGTACCGCCGAACTGATTGCGTACCAGCAGTTGATCCTGACTGCTAGCCGCCAGTTTTTTCCAAGCGCGTGGCTGGAGTACGACCGCCAGCTGCGGATGCTCACGGCCCAGCAACCGGGGACGAAGAGGTTGGACTCCATCGACGTAAACCTGTGGCAGATAGCATTCACAGGGCATGCGCGCCCAACATGCGCCCAATGTGAGACTGTTCACCCAGGGGCGGGTTTGTGTCCTTTTCGTCCCCAAGCCCATTTCCCCAAGCCAGCAGCATTCACCTCCAGTGGTCGCACACACACACCAATGACGGCCAGGAAATCTGCCGCAATTTCAACGGAGGCCGCTGCTCTTCGCCGTCGCCGTGCAGATTCTGCCATACTTGCAGCCAGTGTGGCAAAGATCACAAAGACACCAAGTGCAACCAGCAGCAGCGTGGAGCCAATCGGCCACCCCGCCGCTCCCAGTAGAATGGCCGCTACTGAATTGCCTGACGCTGTACATAGCTTCTTCCCCATACACTCTGCATACACCCCACTGCTAGCTGATCACTTTGCCCGCCTGTTGCGTCACCACCCAGATCAATCCTTTGTTTCGTATGTTCTCCACGGCCCGCGCTATGGCTTTGCTCTTGGTTTTGCCGGCCAACATGACATTTCTGTTTTCTCTAATAATCTGCCCTCGCCTTACACTCACGCTGCATTTATCTCCGAGCAATTAGCTGCTTCCTGCGCACGCGGCGAGACCGCAGGCCCATTTCCCTCGCCGCCATTTCAGTTCATGCGCTGCTCTGGCATCGGTGCCGTCCCCAAAAAGAACGGCAAGCTGCGCATGATCCACCATCTGTCTAGTCCAGCAGGCGCCAGTGTGAACGACAGCATTCCCGCCGAGCCGTTCTCTCTGCACTACGTGAGCATTGACGACGCGATCAACATCATCATGTCATGCCCACAGCCTGTGTATTTGTCCCAGCTCGATGTTCGCAGTGCATTTCGGCAGATCCCTGTCCGCCATCAGGACTTTCACTTACTTGGTATTCGCTGGGAAGGCTCCTACTACTACGAGCGTCTTCTGCCTTTCGGCCTTCGCTCCAGCCCAGCCATCTTTGACTCAGTAGCCACAGCAGTCAACTGGATCATGCAGCACGAGTT